TTTTTTTCTGAACTTTAAATTTCATATACATAGGAAAAACAAAACAAAACACAACTTAAACTGTAGCCTACTTATACAACACAGTACAAAAATCGAAAATGCAACAGTAGATCGTTTCATTCCGACTAATTGTAAAGTGGAAGTCAAATTCGAACAGTTTCTTCACTTCAGGCTAATGGTCAAAGAACGTGTATATATACATTTGGTTATGTGTCATAAACATTACATCCAATCAAGATTTTACGACTCATGATGTTTAAATTTTTACCAGTATTCTTTATTTTGTGTTTGATAGTCGAACTGCCTCATAAATTTGACGCACACCCGACTACACAGAGTGGACAGCGTCACGATATTTGTGGGTAATAAAAGTAACAAATATATAAAAATATAATTGCGATTTCATGTATTAATAATAATAATAATAATAATAATAATAATAATAATAATAATAATAATAATAGTAATAAATAATAATAATAATTATTATTATTATTATTATTATTATTATTATTTATTTATTTATTAATGTTGATGGTGAAGGAGATGATGCTGATGATGATGATGATGATGATGATGATGATGATGATAATGATGATAACAACAATAACAATGATATAAGATAGCCTGAAATTCATGACAGTCAGATTACTTTGGGTTCCGCATCAAATTTGCATAGGGGCCTACTTAAGAAAATAGTGCATGATACACACTGACGCCAGGAAGTCCGTTTCCTCTGTCTATTCCATCCCATAGTGGCAGGACACAAACGATTTAGCAAATGCATAAGCATCAAAGAAACCGAATCACTTTCAACAATTTCAATCTTCATTTATCTTACTAATTGCTTGCAAGATAATCAAGCAACTATGTCAACATGCAGTAAGGCTGCAGTAAAGTTATACCCTGCAAGAGGGCGATGTTCTTTGAACAAGAAATTTAAAGCTTGATACGTTTTAAAATATTGTTTTTGATGTAAATTAATTTTACCAAAGAAAATACTAATTATGAAACTTAATATTCTGTTTAAACGAAGTGTTTGAAATTATATTTGAAACATATGTATAATACGTTAGAAATAATTTCTAGAAGATCTTATATTAATTTTATGTTTATTAAATAATTATTTAATTATTCTGAACCGTTTATTTTATGGTTAAAATATTTTTCGGGAAAAGGAAGATGTCACACTTTGTGTTTCTATTATGTTAATCATCTTATTTATATGCTAATTACTTAATGCTTGGTTTGTGTTGTACGTTACTGGAATAAAGGCAGTTGAATGAATGAACCCAATGTGGAATATCGTGTTTCTTACAAGGGCGATGTTCACATTAGATAAATTTGGTTTCAGTAGGTCTAGCCGCCGCCGTAGCGGCAACCATCAAAGTTAGGAATACCGTACTAGCGCGAATAAGCGCCCCGTTTGAATAAGCGCCCCCCAATTAATCATAGACTGTGGATGTTGGCATGATTTTTAGGTGTGGAGTGGAATCACATTCTCCTTCTCCTTATTTAGTCAATATCAAATGAGGATATTTATCTTGGAGAGATGAGAGCTTCCTGAACAGACAGTACGGTATATTTCCAACTTTCACCTTCTTACATTTTTCTATAGCCTATAGTCCTACTGCTTTTCCAACAATTAGCAAAAAATTTCCAAAACACATTCTCATATGAGTTTTCAAGAAAACCTGCAATGATGCCATCCTGCTAATCTCAATCGGCCGATGGCCAACAAGCTAACCACCACCACCAATTTCATCTGCTATTCTGCTGTTATGTAATACTGTACTCACAACATTCTTGTAATGACAAGCCATGCTGTCTGGAAGATTATTTTTTCCGCCACACCACCATTCCTAATTTGCGGTTTCCTGATGTCCTTATAATAATCGTTTTTCATTCAAAATGTGCCTCTTGAATTTCTTGTTGAAGTTCTCATAAGAACCCCTCGATTTTCATCTATTTCCATAAGCGCCCCCTCATTTTCTACTCTGTTTGGATAAGCGCCCCGTTCGAATAAGCGCCCCTCAAAAAGTGCAAAAAAATATTTTAAGTGCCCTGGCGCTTATTCGCGCGAGTACGGTATGCATAATTTACAAACACAATGGAAAATATTCTAGTGTGAATTTTCATATAGCTAGACATTGAATTTTCCCGAATCAAAAACGCTGAAAATTTTAAATCAGTTGTTTATAATTAATCAGTTGAAATCACGTAATAGTACGTACGTTGTTAGACATTTCTATACGGCAGCATAAGGAAGTTGAGGCATATATTATTTTAATCAGGACTTCCTGTTACAAAACACACTTTTTTTTTTTTTTTTTTTTTATTCAACTGTATCTTTCCAGGGTGACCCAAAACAATGATCGTGGTGCCCTCACATGAATAACATTACAGTTCATAAAAATTCCGAACACAATCATAAAAGCTAAACAGCAAATTTAAAGAGTGAAGTAGGGCCTATACAGTGATGTAATGTCGGCAATATATCAATTGGGTTACATCATTGGTTTGGCTAGTCATAAAGTTAGGTATATGCATAATTTACATACAAAATGAAAAATACTCTAGAGTGTTTCCATGACACCGAATTTTCCCGACACCAACAGATATAGGCC